CTAGATACCTATTGTTCAGAATATACGTGTTACTCCTAATTTAATTTTTATAACTTTCGAATATATAATGCTATGATTTTTTTTCCTGTTCATGATGTGAGTATGTACCTATTAGGTACCTACTTTTCAATAAATAATATTATTTTAGTTGGAATTTTCTCTTCCTACTTCTACATTATTCCTAAAAAGTAAGTAAAGGTGAATATCCCGTACTAGACTGGAACAAGATTATGCATGACGAAATTGCGATACATTTGCTAGACTCTCGTACGAGACGTGAGACAAGACGAGACTCCAGGCTGCGAGACGAGACTCGAGACAAGACTTCATATTTCATCGGCGAGACGAGACGAGACTTTATGAAAGTCTCGTCTCGTTGGTCTCGTGTGAATCACTATTTGTGGACCTCGCATTCATTGAAATCTTGAAGAAGAGAGGCTTTAGGGTGGGTTACATGTTTGGGCCAAGTTTCACTCAGGCTGAGGAGCAACCCACCTAAGGAAGCTGGGGAGGGTGTCTGTTTCAATGTAGCAGAGGGGTCTTCTCTACCTCAGAAGTTTTGGCCTCAAAGGTTACATATCCGCTCCCGACCACAGATGGGGCACCAGGCACTAGCGGGCTTGCAAGTCTGGACGAGACAAGGGCACCGAAGAAGCCAAGTCAACCAACACCATCGAGCAACAAGAACAAAAGGGCCAGAGTTCCCCCTAAGAAGTCGAAGGCTTCGAAAAAATAGGCTACCTACAAATAAACCTTCATCATGCAAAAGCTGCTTCGGACGTGCTTAGCAGAAGATTTATTTGCGAATAGCTTAAAGTAGCCTTCATCCAAGAGCCATGGACCCATGGAAGTCGAATCAAAGGACTTCCACCCCAAACATGTAAGTTAATCTAATAAAAATGACAATCCCAGAGCCGCGTTGCTGCTCTGCGAGAACACTTATTTCATTCATTTTCCAGAGTTTACTAACAGAGACTTGGTAGCACTAGTAGCAGAGGTGCCGACTGAGGGAGGTAAGCAAGAGGTAATTTTGGCCTCGGCTTACTTCCCTGGTGATGACACGGATTAACCGCCTGCTATCGCAAGACTCTCCGAACAACGAACCCCCTAGAAGAATAACGTAACAGATATTTATGATACCAACATGAATTCCCACAACAATCATAATATTAGTTCCCAATCGTAGCCAGTGTTGTCATGTCGCATATTTTAAAAGTAATAAATATTCCGTCATCTTTATTTTTCATCCCTGCTTCATAAATCTAAAGCAATAAATTCATGTTTTTGTTAGTCGGATTATATATAAACACTGGAGAATCAATGCGTAATGATTCATACCTAATTCTGGTCAACTCGTCGAGAGCTTACGTACGCAATTCAAGTATTTTGAATACTTCTTGGCCAATGTTGCAACGTCGCTTCTGGGTATTCGACAGTGGAGTGGACAGCGATAAATGTTTTGTTTGGTATCGATCGTCGTATTGTTTATGTGTCGTTCGGAAGGATTTTCTCTACTTATGTTCCGTTTTGTGCTTCATCAATAATATAAACTAAGTTTATAACAATATTTTGCTGATCTTTGTACAATGGTGAGACGTTGTGAGGTGTGTAAGAGACAATTTGATCCAAGTGATCAGAACACGTCATTTCACAGGTAAGCGGCCAGTGTCGTATCATACGAAATTTCAATATCGTTTCCCCAAATTGAGATGAAAGCAATAAATATCCAATGAATTAATAAGATTAGATTTAGGCTCTCTGCAACATTCAGTGTTCTCCGGTGATGTGAAAAATATTTACAGGTTTCCTCAAAATGCAGAATTGATGAAAATATGGGAGAAAAACATTGGAAATGAAAACGTTTCCAACGAAGCTAGGATATGTTCGGATCATTTTCATATCAGTGACATAATGTTTAGTCCAGGTGGAAAGAGATTATCGAAAAGAGGAGCTATACCTGTTTTTCGCCATAAGAAGGAGAGGTGAGAATTTCTTCAATGAATAACTAAGTATTGAAACGGGAATAATTTGAACCCATATCGACAGTGGAATAATCAAGACCTATGTGACTAATGCTTTTTATTAATGAGGTGATCATTATGTGGTAATAATTGTAATTTTTTTTTATTGTAGGGTCATTCTTGAAGGAAGCATTGAAGAAAGCAGAATATGTACATCACAACAGAATGAAGGAGCAACACAATGACTCCATTTTGTGTTGTTATTTGGTGGTGGTGGTGATCATTATGTGGTAATAATTGTAATTTTTTTTTATTGTAGGGTCATTCTTGAAGGAAGCATTGAAGAAAGCAGAATATCTACATCACAACAGAATGAAAGAGCAACACAATGACTCCATTTTGTGTTGTTATTTGTCGTGAAATGTCGAATTTCAAGAAAATGAAGCTTTGTCAAATGTTCTATTACTTGAGAGGAAATCAGATGGCTACAAGCCGAAGAAATGAAAAATTTCGCTATTATCTGTTACAGCCGTAAAGAAAGTATAGTGTATAACTCGCACGGAACGCTGATTTCCCACTCTTATGATTTGCAGCATTCGCCTACGGCTCATGCAGCAAACTTTATTATCGTGTGAAATGACTATTGTTAGGTATGCAACTAAACATACATAAAAGATGTCATGCGCAGTGTGCGATGGACGGAGATGGGGCTTTTGTTATTGTTATGTTGTTAGGTTGTTAGGGTGTGGCGAAGGCCGCTGAAATGGATTTTTGAGTAATAAAGCTAATGTTAATAATTAATAGTTTTATTAACAGATCACTAAAATAAATAACAATTGTTCATAAGTAGAACAACATAATAAATTACAAAAAGGAGTAGGTAAAAAGTGTTATTTAGAGTTGAGTGATAGCGAAAGTGACCAAGGCAACAACTTAGATAATTCTGTGGAAATAGACATAAGTGACAGTGAGATTAGAGAGACAGAGTCTGAATCTGAAAGAGAAACACACAGTACAGATAGGGAGGAGGAACAGTATGAAAACCCAATTGTTACTAGTAAGGGTAGATTAGTAAAGGCTCCGTCCAGGTTAAACTTATGATTTCGGTTTCGGATATTCGTAGGTTTTAAGAATGTGTTGAATTTATAATGTAATAATAAAAAAGAAAAAAAAGGAGATGTTAGGTATGCAACTAAACATACATAAAAGATGTCATGCGCAGTGTGCGATGGACGGAGATGGGGCTTTTGTTATTGTTATGTTGTTAGGTTGTTAGGGTGTGGCGAAGGCCGCTGAAATGGATTTTTGAGTAATAAAGCTAATGTTAATAATTAATAGTTTTATTAACAGATCACTAAAATAAATAACAATTGTTCATAAGTAGAACAACATAATAAATTACAACTATCATTCTGTGCTCCATAAGCAATGTACCTACTATTTACTGAATTGAGTGACCCTTTCTTATTGTATGTTTATAAGTTTGACAACAACGAACGTGTCACAATAAAAATGTTAAATTTCGTGTCCCAATTCCTGATGTTTAGGTATGACAAAAATACGGATGTATCGTATCTATCAGAATGTTTGTATAGCAATTTATTGCCAGAAAAAGCATATTTTTCCATTTTCTTCCACAGTCAAGAATTTATTATATCAACTATCAAGCTTTTTTCGCCCTACGGCACTGGTGCTGGGAGAATCAGCTGTTGCTATCCTTGTTTAGCATGAAATGAACAATTCAGATGTTGGTTCCAAACAAACTGTATTGGCAAGGTGATCGACCGTTGGGGGCGCTGTTTCAAAACAAGATGGCGGCAAAGAGTGTGTAGTTTGTTTACAAAATTTCTTGAGATTTGCATACATTTTCTTCTTGATATTTCATCGTGTTATTTGTGTTTATTGTTGAACTTTTAACTGAAATCATAATTATATTAGTTGAATCTTACTGTTTCATCGTTATGTGAGGAAAATTACTGTTACCTACTGACTGAATCGTGGACCAAATTTCTTCAAACCAGTGCATTTCTGTGGGACAGCTTTATGGGATATCAAAAATTACAAGCATATCCACTATCATCAGAAGCTGATATATTCACCATCATACTTCTATACCTCCACTCTTCAACAACAAGGATCCTACAGACCACAAATCGTGATACCAGGAGTGAAGTTTTTCAACAGTGAACAGCCTTCTGTGAACATATTGAAAACCATCCCTGAACAATGTGTTAACCTATTCGACTATTTTGTGTTAAATATTATAGCCATCAGAATCATGTGCAATTGATCCATACAATAGAAATCAGCAGCAACCAGCTCTAATGAGTCTAAACCAAGAAATAATTCAACACCAAAGGCATCCTGACATTACTGTGGATTTAATAAGAGATACAACAAAATTACTTCCAGGCTTTGAGGAAGACATTGATCAAATGACCTAGGATTTCAGTTAATGTATTTACACAGTATATTATCATAAATTTTGTGATTTGATATCATTATGTAATCCTAAATTCATCTAATTGAAAATATCTATCTTATCAATCTGTATAGTTCATTATGTTTTGTATATTTTGGAACTGAATTAATAATAATTTTTGAAAATGAAAGTACATTGACATAACATGTGTTTTACTGTACTTATGCCACTCCAAAGAAGTCCAGAAAGAAGTACCTACAAATAGAAGGATAGTCCAGTATACTCCTTCCCTCAGTGCTCATGTATACTGTTTTCCCCTGAATTATTTTACAAGATACCTTCATAAAAAATTTCAATTATAAATGAATTTGAAATCCAGGACTTTCATGTATGTAGAAATAAATCAACAATGAGCAAAAGTAAGTATCTTTCTGGTAGGTACCTATATTAAAAGGAATATCAGTAAAGATTATAAAGTGAAACTTTGAAATTGCATCAAAAAAGAATGAGGTGTTGATTGAGGTAGTTGTGGAATTGAAATATGAATTTTGAAATCCTACCATAAAACATTACAAAACAGAAAAAAGGTAGAACGTTTACTTATGAATAAATACAGTTTAATAATAACATACAAGCAGTAAAATTATGAATACATTTTTCCAAGATACAATTTGAAATGTCATGGATATGTTCAAGTACCGTAGAATGGGGATACTTGGAACTGTGGGGTAAATTGGAACGAAACTTCACATTTTCAAATTACCCGCTGAAATCAACAGCTGATTTCATTTTAAAACATTGTTTCGTGCACAGTTGTTTTGTGTAGTTATATATTCGTTGTTTGAAGGTAAGTGGCATATAAATATTGTTTCAAGAATGTTGTATATTGTATCGACAATATAAGCAGGTAGATGACAGAAAAAAATGACATTAAAAACTTCCTGTCAACCGGCATTATGAATTCAATATACGGCGTTCATTTCATATAGGTTATGTGCAGTTACCATTTCTCTAGCGGAATAGGTCGCGTGCAAGAACTGTCAGATGACCGACCCTGGAGGCAAAACATATTTTTTTACAAGTGATCGAAATAGTTTTCCACAATTATTTTGGCATATGAATCGTATTTTTCCGCTATTCATCAATTCGCTAATGCCATCACATTGTGCTGTTGTGAAATGCACAAAAACTGCAGCGGAAGATGAAGAAATCCGGATGGTACATTATGATTCAAAAGTAAGTACCTACTATAGACACTCACATAGTTTTCATTTTTGAAATTTGGTTATTTCTCTGATTTCTCATCGGAATTCCTTCTGCAATAGGATCATCTAATAGAAATATACCTGAAATTTCTAGAATAATGCAAGAAGATTGGATTCATGCAATCAATCGGTAGGACTGGTCTGACATGCTGACGATCGTGTGTGTTGTAGACATTTTCAATCTATTAGCAGCATTAGCTTGTATTGCAGAAGTGGCAGAAGGCAGAAGGAATTTTAATAAGGAATGACAACATTTCATAATGCTAACTATGTGAGATTACTATTTACCTGAAAAATCATAATCCCTAGTCTCTTGCTGCATTTTTTGTGCATTGTACAACAGCACAATGCGAAGGCATGCTTGAATTAATGAATAACGCAAGAAACACGATTCGTATGCCAAAATATTGTGAAAAACTATTTCAACCTTTTGATTCCTCTGTAACCAAATAAAAAAGTGAGGTTGTGTTTCAATAATTCACAGAAGAATGAGGTTGTGTTTCAATATTTTGCCTCCAGGGTCGGTCTTCCTGCACGCGACCTATGCCGCTTAATCACTAGGTGCGTTTTATTGGCAATATTCTTCTACCGGATCGACAGTTCTCGTCGTTTTATTGAACATTATTCTGAAACCAGTTCCAACTTTTCATTCCGTCTCATTAGACGGAATGACAGGAAGAAGATTATGTCACAGGTGACAGAAAGGCGGTATATGTCAGTAAACGTGATTTGAATTTTTGAATTTGAATATTCGAAATTGAAAAGAAGAAAGAAAACACTCGAAACGAAAAAAATGGAAGGCCATTTAGTTCAAACAGATACTGGGGAATACCTATGGTTCAATAGTAGAAGTGAGTAATATAATGAGATTTGACCCTCGTCTCACAAATTTTGATGACCCGCATTCTTTCAGCTGGCTTGTACGAATTTATCAGGACAGAAGTATCTGCTGCTGCTGTAAATGAGGTAATACCAGAGAGTATGGACAAAAATAATGCTGAAACAGGAGACACCTCATTCAATGATGAAACAGCTTATGAAACATTGAAAGATAATGACAATAATTTGAACCTGGTGGAGAGGAAGAACATCTGGGATAGTAAACAGACGCTTTTGCTCATTGATATATGTGGGCACAATAAGGACCGGTTAAACAATCCTAAATATAGAAAAACGGAAGTATACAAAGAAATATCTGATCAAATGAAAAAGAATGGACACTTCTTCTCAAGTGAACAATGTTTAAATAAAATGAAAACACTAACCACCAAGTACAAGGAGATACGAGATTTCAATGCCACTTCTGGAAACAATCCTAAAAAATGGGCGTATTTTGATATACTGACAGAGTACTTTGGAGATCGCCCAGGTATAGTAGCCAGAGCATCATGTTCAAGCTTGAATATAGCTCGAAATAATCTACCTGATCATAGCAGCCCATCAACATCCAATGTACAGAAGAGAAAATCAGAATCTTGTGAAAGTGAAGAGAAGGGAAAGATGGTTAAGAAAACTCAGGAGAGACAAAATCCAAAAAAAGAAATGGTTGCTTGGCTTAAGGATTACAAGAAAGAAGTGCAAGAAAGAGAGGAAAGGAGGCTGAGTATGGCTGAACAGCAACATAATGAGAATAAAGAGATGTTGTCACAAATTTTAGATTTGTTAAAAAACAAATCTTCATATGTTGATGCACCTGCACCAGAGTGATATCAAGAATCAGATACCTTTGGTACAACATTTATTCAATGTGAATATTCAGTGTACGTTCAAGTTAATTGTTGATAGTTATTTCTTATATGAGATTAAAATGTTTTCATTGTCATCTATTTTTATATCTTTATCCCTCTACTTACTTTTACATTACCAACAAAATATCATATGCAATTGGGTTTGGGTATTTGAAATATTATGAAAATGCTGTATCTTCGATCATTCCATGTTGGAAAGCAATTTCCCAGAAGTGGAAAAATTGTACACTATCTCTGATAAACTGAAGAATCTGTTCTAGGATGGATATAAGGACCTATACATTTTGAAAATATTTCCCAGGTGTTTTAAAATGTAGCACTAATAGGTCCCCCTATCTATCCTAAAGAGAACACTTCTGAACAATAAAATTCTTCAGCCACAATAATGTTTTGAGTTGAATAACGTGAATAACCTTCCCATCCCCCAGTACAGGTAGACAGAGATTTTCAAAGAATGAAATAATGAAAAACAATAAATAATTATATATATGATTATATTGAATGAATTAAAACAGCTGTTATACTCTATGCCCTCTGGTATTCCATAAATCTATAACTAATTGATTACGTAGCTGAATGCCACCTAATTCATTTTCTCCTTGGGCACATACCATATCAATTAGATTAACATCGAAGCCATCATCAATATATTGGCGAGGATCATCATCATTTATGATGCATATTATGTTATGTAGCACACAACTGGCAACAATGATGTTTGCTATATTCTGTGGCTCCTTGATATCTAAAAATTCTTTCAGACGTCTGAACCTTCCTTTGAGAGCCCCAAAAGCATGTTCAATTTTGACTCTCGTTTTTGCCAACATTTTGTTGAAATACACTTGGGATGGTGTCAATTGCCCATTGTTTTTGAAGGGTGGAATCAACCAAGATAAAACAGGAAATGCAGAATCACCTAATATGTAATAGTGATCTCCACATAGTTGAGCACCTATAGGAAATATTTCACTTGTTCGAAGTACTCTGGCATCATGGACTCCCCCAGGCCATCTAACATCTACATCTGTAAAAGTCAGGTCATGCTTGCAAATTCCTTGCAAAATCATTGAATAGAATTTTTTTCTGTTGTAATAATCATTGGGATACTCATGGGGTCTAGTTATAGGTATATGACAACCATCAATGACTCCTATTACTCCTGACAAACCATATTTATTGAAACTTAATGATATAGCCTGCTTCTCATGTGGAAGTGGCCATTTGATGAATAATTTACACAATTCTTCTAGAATCACCTTCACTGTTGTATGTAGGCAGTGAAATACCATAGATTTCGTAACTCCAAACCGGTCACCAATAGATCGATAGCTTTCAGGAGTAGCTAATGTCCAAATTGCCACAAGAACCATCTTCTCAACTTCGATTTGTTTTCTACCTCCATGATTACTTAGTTTTCGGAAATGGTCATTGTTGGCAATTTTACCCAGAATGATCTCGAATACATCTGGACTCATTCTGAAATGACTCTTGAACGTTGAAAAACTCATTGATGGAATCACTTCTTCATAATAATTTCGACTTTTAGGGATGATATTACTGGAACTTCTGAAAACGTTAGTTGAACCTATTGAATCCCTTCAGGCACCTATATCAAACAGGCTCACAAGTTGAATATTCTCTCCAATATAAGAGTGTCAATTTCATCAACAAATACTAGCAAATCTTGTCTTCTTACAGTTGCACCTATTAAAGAAGACAACAAAAAAGCAGGAACCACATTATCCATAATAATAATGCTTGGATCTGAAACTATCAGGTGACAACTTGAGACAGAATCATGATGTTTATATGTGTCAACTTGACAGACCGACCCTGACAATCAAAAAAAACGAATTGTCGTTTTATTGGCAATTCCTACTACTTCCACCGGGTGGAATCCAAAAAAACGCACCTACTGTTTAACTCTCAACAGTGTTGCCAATATTTTTTTTTTCATCACGAAAGTCGAAGTTGGGAAGATTCGCCGAAATCTTGGAACAGGCGTTCCAAGTTTTCGAATACGTTCCAAGTTTTCGGATGTGTTCCATTTTTTTCAGATATATCAATATAGTTGGGTAGTAAGCTATAAAATTGAACTGTTTCAGGGCTGTCATCATCATTACTTTGAAAAATGCCGAGAAACCATAAGCGGAAGCCTGCTACACGAAGATATGCGGATTATACAGAAGACACATTGGCGGAAGCCCTTAGAGTGCTGAAATCTAAGTCTATGTCATTGCGTGAAGCATCTAAAAAATACAAGATATCTTGGGGCACTCTATCCAGGAAGCTCAAGAACAAAAATATGAATAAATATGGACGACCCACAGTCCTGACAGAACAAGAGGAACAGAAAATCGTAGAAGGTTTACAAGTGGCAGGAGGATGGGACTTTCCTCTTACCACCACAGACCTTCAGCTAGTTGTGCAATCTTATCTAGATAGTTGTGGAAGATCAGAACGACCATTTACTCAGAACCGTCCTGGAAGAGATTGGGTTTTCCATTTTCGCGATAGACATCCTGAATTGTCCAGCCGTGAAAGAACTGAACGAGCAACAAGACTGACGCGAATTATTGTATCCATACCTGCTTATTGTGATCATAATAGGTTCCTGATGAGAATAATTTTTTAAATTTTTTTTTTATTACCTAGTGTTTTTTTTTGTTAAGAATTATGGTATTCTAGAGATTTTTTTGAGTTTTTTTTTATGAAATGCTTCAATAACAAGCTGAGGAATATAATATATCACCTTCAAAATATTTTATTTATTCCGTTACTTGATCGCAAACTAATTCTGGATTGATTTATTTGACCCTAAAACAAATAAACGTGTTCCAAGTATGCCCACAAGTCGGTAAATTGACAACAACGGGACTTTTGTATCACTGTTCCAAGTTTTCAGATCAGCGGGTAACTTGGAACAGCTATATTTTTTTAAAATATCATCCAAATGACTGAACATGCGAAATTGAATATTTGTATAATTATAGTTTATCAACTCATACATCTTTTATGATAGTGCAAAATTCCCTACCATGGTCAATAACTTTACCGCGTATATTTGAATCTGAAAATTGTTCCAAGTAACCCCATTCTACGGTACCCATAAATAATCAGTGATAGGTATATCCTTAAAAACTTGAATTCAACTTCAAGGAATCTGGGTTTTGGTTTCAATTTGTGTAACTAATTGCACTCAATTGCAAGATACCCTGGATGGCAACTCCTCCCCTGCTGAAAAATTGAAGAAATATTAGTACCAGTGACGGCTCGTGCCCTCAGAACCTGGGTCGGCCAGGGTATAGATATTGCTCTAAAATGCGAACGTAAGTGGGTCAGTGGCTTGAGTGAAGTTCGATGGCAAATAAGCATGTACAGGGTGATTCACCATAATTGTCCTTTCTCCCTCTAGCTCACTTATTTTTGACCCGATTTAAAAATTTGAAGGATGATCTAAAATGATTTCTCAGAATTTGTTTTCCCGTTGCATCAGGAAATACAGGGTGCTCGGAACAAATGATCTACAGGGTACTACTCGATTTTTCCAAATCGAACACCCTGTATTTCATTGTATTTTTAGATTCTTCCTGAAGAGCTGATTTCATCAATGCATCACACTTGGGGTCTAGCGGGAATGATAACAGAGATATAGGGTGTTCAAGTTCAAGTTTAGGATTTTTTTGTCTCGAAACTATTCATTATTGGTCGAAACGGCTCCTATGTTTCCATCTTAATTTTTGATTAACTGTCTATTGAGATTTGATTGGAACATTTACAGGGTGGTTCAAGATTCAGAATTCTGATCACCCTGTATCTGTTCCAATTATTAAATGTCAGTAGATAGTAAATCAAAAGTTGAGATATGGACATGAAAGCCGTTTTGACCGATGATAGTTTCGTCTCAAAAAAATCCTAAAGTTGAAAAATCTCGATTTTGAACACCCTATATCTCTGTAATCATTCCCGATAGACCCCAAGTGTGATACATTGAGCAAATCAGCTCACAAAAATAGGGTGTTCCATATAAAAAAATCAAATGGTACCCTGTAGATCGTTTGTTCTGAGCACCCTGTATTTTCTGATGTAGCGGAAAAAAACACAATCAAAAATCATTCAAGATGATATTTCAAATTTTGAAATCGGTTTAAAAATAATTGAGCTAGAGGGGGGGACATTTATGGTGAATCACCCTGTACACATAACCAAAAAATTAAATTGTCCAGCAAGAACCACGAGGTTAGAGCATTCTCGCCAGGGGAAATGGGGAAAGAATAAGGAGGTGGATAAGGGTTAGTTGGTATGAAAAAATAATAACAAGAAAGTCGAAAATAAAAATAAAATAACTCGTGAACAAAAAATATTTATATTCTGTTGAAAACGTAATGTAAACTCAAAAAAATCAACATAACCGACAACCACTCACCTAACGCGAGAAGCACAACAATGATTAAATCGGTCTACGCTCTACGCCGTTCCTGTAACAAGCCACCCCACTCCTTCGTAGTCGGCTGGCCGATCCCGCGTGCAGGGTGCAGCCGTAGGCACAGCTTACCTAGGTATAATGTTTCCCGCGATGCGATGGATGCATAAATATTATTTAGGTTTTAGGTAGTTTATAACCGCTACACTACATGCGTCTTTGAAAATAAATGATATTCTGGAAGTTATACATTTATTACATTTTCGTCACCAGAGCTTTTTTACGATGTTTCAATACCTACTCAGCTCTTGGACTGCTGACATTTTTCTTGCCATATTACCTACATAGGCAGAGGCACAGTAGGTTACATTACAGCAATATTCAAATTGAATTATAACTTATTGACGCTCAGAAGCACTGAAGGAAAATTCTGATACCAATATTAGATGGATATGTTGAATTATGAATTACTGAAAAATTGCAAATTCAAAAATCACCAATCATTTTTACTGCAACTACTGCAAGCGTAAACAAAAACATGGACATTATTTTTCTTTTCAGTTTGTACATTTCAAATTCCAACATCAACTTACAAATAAGTATAGGAATTAAAATTATAAATACCTTCAATGTAAAATGAAAATAGAATGTCAATCATGCCAATCCGTATATTAAAAATTAGGTCCGAATGGTTCGATACGGTGCACAGCGAGAGCACTGCAAACAACTGATACTGATAAGTACGATCGATACGTTGGACGGCCAGCAGAGCTTGGCCGCACCGAGGGTATGAGGCGTATAAGCGAAAATTTAAACTTGAAGCGGGGAATCTGTAGGCGATGCCTGTGGCGATGCGTCGAGACAAGAAATCACCGATCGGCCGGCCGTCTGCATCAGTGTAATGAGCTACGCGAGCGGTTCAACTGAAAGCGGCGTTTTGACGATGGGATTACCAGATGTCGTAGGTCCTGAATTAGTTCGTGATTTTCGG